TATTCTAGAAAGCCCATAAGCCTTAATAGTCCAACGGCTACAGCACAGGATTACGGCTCAAAGGTCCTTGGATCGAATCCCTTCAGATTTTTTATTATTTACCTGTTTTCTGTATTTTTCTATATTTATCCATTTAACTATTTTTTTTCAATTAACGCAAATATTTACATGATTTATTTACAACAATTTCATAACAACAAATAATGTTTACAACAATTTATATATTTTTTTTTTAATAGGGTTAGGGTTAGGGTCACAATGCACCATAAAACAGGAGTTTTAGGCACGCGATTTGTATCAACCAATGGGATTTGGGAGGTATGCAGAATGCAGAAGGTTGCTGAAATGATGTGTATGTAACCTCGTAGTTTGGTTACTTAGGTGAGGTAGGCAGCGGGTAAGTGAACAGGGTACAGGATGCGCTAAGACATAAAGAAAACAAGAACTAGCGAAGTAACGTACCACAAGCGACTGTATTATTAGCCATGTTACAAGTACAACAGGTAGCGTATACAACTGTAGCGTGACAGGGAAGAACACGGGGAGAGAGAGAGTTGAGTTCCCCGTGTCTGAGTGCCGCTCGCCTTATATACTCCGGCGATTCCTGTGCCCGCCATCCGGGCATTATCCTGTCACCTCTTGGGTTTTCCAGGTTCCCATTCTGCCGACCCCCGTCTTGCGAGGGCCGCATCTCATAATGTCGCGTGTCACGTAACCTGCTCTCCGCTCTCTAAGTGATCATTCACTCTAGTCAGTCGTTCGACACCTGTACCACCTGTGGCCCTGCTCCCAGCCGTCGCCCGCTCTCCGCTCACTCGGCAACGTGCTCGAGCGCTGCGTCGCTACATGTATGCAACTGCATATCTGCATATCTGCGCCTAACAAAGGTGTCACTACACACGACTTAAATGTTACATTCATAACCGTAGCAACGGACCTCAGATGAGCCCAGACGCTCTGCGGCTTTTGTTAATTAATGTTCTTTGCACTTTTTATTTATAGCAACAACAGAGAATGAAAACACAGAGTACAAACCAGAGTAAGTTATATACTATACCTACCTATATATAATATCCAGTAATCATATTCAATATTGAATCCTGTAAATTAATTGTAAGTTTCCATGTATTTTTCTTTTGTTTAAACCTGCATGGCCATAAAACGAATGAAACTCGTGTTTTTTCTAACCTTGCACATACTTGCGTGGAAATGCAGGGGATCTGTTCTGTTGTCTCTATTATGTACTGACCAGTTTTTTCCATGTATTTTTAGTTCCTGGGAAAAGGCCTACCAATCATGAGTTTGAATCTTGGCAAAATCAACATCAGGTGTGTTTTAGCATGGGTGGCAGCACAAATAAACGTATAGTTTCATATACAGATCGTATTGTGCAATAATTGCTAAATAACGTAAGTTGTAATTTTTGTGCTTTCCATTTTCAGCAACAGTACAGCAACATGACAGGTGATCTATACATGCCAACCTATTATCCAAATGTGCCATTCTCGTACATGAACCAAGGTCAGGGTGGCATAGGTGATATTACTTGGTCAAACGGTGCAGACCCAATGACATTTCTGGGCTCATATCCCAATGATCAACAAGCACAGTATGTTACTGAAGGAATGTTTGGTCAATCCAATTTTGGGTACAACCAGCCAGGATTTAACACGTTCTTTGCGGGTGGTGACTACAATACTTGGGGTACCCCCCGCCCTGGAAGAGCCACACATGGATATTATGATGACTATTACAACAACATGCGCAATGACTATGGCATGGCTAATGGTACAAATAGAAACGGCTCGGGTGTTAAGCAGATTGAGCAAGGCATGGGTGGACTTGGTCTGAAAGAGGGTTCAGACAAGGAAAACCCCTCGTCACCCGACCCAGAACCAGTGAAATCTGTAACCGGATGCGGTAGTGCCAGCTCACCAAGCATAGCCCACAGCCAGCTATCCCAACCCAAGAAGATGACTTGGGCAAACATTGCCAGCCAACCAGCTAAACCTCAGCCGAGGGTCAAGTCGAAGACCATGCTGCCGGCACCCATTTTCCCTAATCGGAATATGGACATTGGTACATGGGACAGCAAGAGCTCGATGATGAATCGGCCAGTGGGCGGTACTCAGCCTCGCCAGGTTTGGACTTCCCCTCGCGAACGAGGAGTGCATGCTTCCTCTAACAATTCTGTGACACCGATCGTTTTACAATCTCCCAATAACAGCAGCCACCCCCGTCAGCAACAACAGCAGCAAGGACGGGATGCACCTGACCAATTGCCTCCACATTCCCCACCTGTGGTTGAGCACAGACGAGTCGATCCAGTTATCGATAAATTGCTCTCGATTAATGATTACAATCCGAAAAACTTCAACGCGAATCCGAAGAATTCTAGATTCTTTGTTATAAAAAGTTACTCGGAAGACGACATTCACCGCTCCATCAAGTATAGTATATGGTGCAGCACTGAACATGGGAACAAGCGCCTCGACACGGCTTTCAAGGAGCGTGACTCGAAGGGCTCGGTGTATCTTTTCTTCAGTGTGAATGGTAGTGGGCACTTCTGTGGTCTAGCCGAGATGTTGACTCCGATCGATCATGACACGAAGAGCAGCGTCTGGGCGCAGGACAAGTGGAAAGGACAGTTCCAGGTGAGGTGGATCTACGTGAAGGACGTGCCAAATTCAGCACTCCGGCACATCAGACTCGAAAATAATGAGAACAAACCGGTGACGAACTCACGTGACACACAGGAAGTGCCCGCTGATAAGGGCAAGCAGGTGCTTAAGATAATGTGCAGCTATCGTCATACGACGTCGATTTTTGATGACTTTATTCACTACGAGCAGCGGCAGGAGGATGAAGTAAAGAAGAGGGTAGGCTTTTTCACATCTATTATATAGTGTTGTAAACCACATGCTGTTTGCTCGTGGTTACTGACAGCTTTATAAATCTATTGTATTTCTTCATGCTTGCATTGTTGATAATGTACATGTGTGGATATTGTCTTGGGAGCGAATTACGCTTTGAATTTATCATAAATTTTCCCTTGCATAGGTTTTAAACTTAACAGATTGATTGTTGCTTTCTACATTAACAGGATTACCATGTTGGTGGTCGCTCAGAGAGAAGCGAGAGCACTGACCACAGTGAGCGCAGAGGCCGTGACAATAGACGATCTCAAGAGTAGTAGGAGCCTTAGGAAATGCACTGCAGTGTTAGCTCGCCCACATCTACAACTTAACATTGTGAAGTATAACTCGACACCTATCAGTTGGTTGTGTACCTACATCTAACCTTGACTGTATGACGCAGGTTGTCATAATCGGAACTACTTTGCATTAGTCCTGTCTAGAGCAAAGAATTTTGACGGAAAACGTGCCATCTGATTCTGCAGCAATTGTCGAAAAATTTCACTGTCAGGCTAAGTTATGAAGTTAGTTGTATTTCCTTATTGGTAATGCGGTCATGACTGATGTGCCCAGTGGACTATGAAATGTAATGCGTATTTATACACATATCAACCGACGTGATACCGCCAAGGTAATGAAGGAGAGGAGTGGGTTTTATCCAAGGTTTGCCCAATGGTGACACTATTCTACATCTGCATCCTCACGTACTACAATTATCATTTGAACTTATCATCTGATGTTTATGTTTATAGGGGTAGCTCAATTTCTGTGTGGCCAGTTTTCCAATTTACCACAAATCCGTTAAACCACTAATAAGCTGGGAAAATGTACTGTGTTTTTATTTACATTTGTTTTATTTATAACCAGTTACTAGGTCAGTTATTAAAGGGGGAGCAATGGAAGGAGACTGCCATTCTGCAGGGTATTAGGTTGTTCAGCTACCAGTTCAAAAGATCATAATTTGCATACTTGGGAAAACAAATATAATCAATTCAAATTTAATGTAACCAAGCTTTGTTTACACTATATCACTAATTTCACTGGTACTTGTGTAGAACATACATTTTCCTGCCCTCGTCTCTCCCCCAGCAAACAAAACATGGGTTTCTAATTTTTATAGATTACTGGTAAAAATTATTTAAAATCCTGTGGTTGAAATATACAGCTAATCAGTCATCACTCATCAGTATATGTTAAATGTAAACGAGTTGTCAAGTTGTTTATTTAAAGGGGGGTTTTTAATTACCCAATTGAATCTGAGAAACATACTGTTCTGAAATCATGAGTTGCTCTTATACAAATGGATCCTATAGGACTCAAAATCGGCAATCAGCAATCAGCAATAAAAAATCTTGGTAAGGTCTTTTTATGATTTATGATAAGCTATTTGACTTGCCAATATTATTTAAATTTGATGCAGTATGGCGAGTCAAATTGGTTCGTTTTAATGAATTTATAATGGCACATTTCCTCCTCCAATTGGTTCTGATATTATTGTACATGCGTTGCGTATTTTCATCGTACTAGTTGATGCACCTGCTAATGCTAGAATATGTGTCCAATTCAAATAATGAAGCATCTCACATGTCACTATCAAATACAGAATTTGTTTCCACATGTACCTGTATATTTGACAAACTTGCCACATGCAATTAGGTAATGCTGCAATCCAGTGTGTAGAATAAAAGTTCTGCATTTATTCAGTATCATTCCTTGCATGAAAATTATGAAAAAAACGTTCTTATGTCAGATTATTTTTGCAGCAGTAAGCATTTTATCCAAAAGCATGTGTGATGCATTATGAAAGATTCGTGCATAGGCAGATGAAGTTATAAACTTGTGGTACTTGGCTAAAACTGTGCACATACGTATTTACAACTATACTTTTATACTATAGACAATTTTAAATTAGTTCACCTGTTTGGCCAAGGCCTTGGAAAAGCGTGTCTAAGGGTGACTACGAGCTAAATGGTTTCATATAATATAAACCATTTGTCAACACTTTAACGTCATTATCTTTTTGCGGTCTATTTCGTATATTGTTGGCTATTGTTTATGACAGGTGTAGGTTTAAAATTATTGTAACCAAGTTTGGTTTAAAATAATTTATTCAACAATTAATATAAATACATCTATACAAGTAATATATTTGAATCACATGTTCTTGGTCTGTTTTCATATTTAAATTTAAAACATTGAATTTATTAAGCAGTGGTTGCTATTCTTTAACCTCAAAGGGAATTACTGTTAGGATGATGTAATTAATAATATCAGTTTATCATAATCATATTGATTATAACATTATTACGTTCTTTTTCATGAATACGCTAAATGGAATTACCTTATTTTGTACGTGAGCCAGATAACTAGGTTGTATATGCTGGGCTAATAAATAATGAATAAGTAAATGCTATGCTGCTGGCAATATCATATTGAATTTCATGACATTCAAATGCGTAACAAGTTACTGTCCTTACTCTCTTCTGTTGTTATTACTAGCACAGCAGTACTATCTCAGCTGGAACTTCTGCCGATGGATTGCGTGCAGTTAATGGTACAGAAATTTTCACTTTTCACATATATATATATATACCGGTACAAGTAATGTGTGACATAAGAGAAGTTAAATGGTAGTAGACTCTAGGATTTTACTGCATACAACTGTACTTACTGTATAACAAATCGGCTATACCAACACGTATTTGGAACCAGATACCTAACAGATCGTGCGCTTTGAGTGGCGCCACCGTCGTTGTAATCAAACTGTAGTCGTTAGTTTTAAAACATTTGTTAATAATATTTCTAATGGTGATTGAACCATGAAACTTTTTATGTAGCGTAATTTTAACCTAAATTAACTGAAAATAACCCTAGAACCTAGAGTAAACGATCCCTTTAAAGAATGGGTGATGGCTGTCATGGTTTAACAGTCACTATCCCGTTTTGGTGTGTAGCTTGGCAAGGTATGTGACGAAGTATTGTAACAAACCCACTACACGTCAGCCTGGACAGTTTTCCATTTAAATAATAAATACTGGGAGGTCATAGACATAACTGTTAATAGGAAAATAGTAGAAAACGTTTAGTATAAATACACATTACACAAACGCGCAAATAATTAGGTTAGATTATGTGGAAATTATTGAAAACAGCAATTCTAGTCCCCAAAAAAAATGTGCAGTCGTATCCAAAATGTATAATTAACACGTTTATTCCCAAAACCATTTGTACCCTATGTGATCTTCATTACTGATTGTTATGTGACAATGAACCATACCAGGTCTGTCATGAACCATACCACTGCAAAAGCTCTTGGGCTCACTAACTATTCACATAATTCAATCCATTTTCTATCAATCTTGTGTCTATCTTCCTACATCAGGCTGTACGTGAAAATTACCAGGAACCCAACTACCCAATAGGTTGTATTACATGTAGTATACTAATACAAATGAAACCATTTGTGAAACGTGCACGCACACGTATCTGTCTTCCTGTGAATTATGGCAGTTAATCTCCCTTGGACCAGACTTCAGGTTTGACATCATCAAAACATTCAAAGACACCAAGAAACTTCGATAGCTGCAGGCTTGCCTTTGCTGGCAAAAACCTGCAAGGGTAAGCAATGCAAAAAATCAAATTACTTTTCAAATCAATTATACAGTCCGAAAATCTGGACTGCTCGAGGACTGGGTCACTCCGGATTTTCGGGCAGTACCTTTATAATTTAAATTTAAGGAGGAATAAAGAAGAGATGAACAGGTAAATTTCGATCGTTTATTTAATAGCAAATCCAGCATTTATCAAAACGAGCAGAGAGAAAAATAAAGTCATTACGACAAAAATGTAGGCCTAAACATAAATTTTTTACGCACACAAAAGCCTGCTAAATGTAAGTTTGAGAGTTTTCGAAAAGTCCAAATTTTCAGGTGGTCTGGATTTCTGGCATCTGGATTTTTGGACTTCTACTCTGTATATATATACAAAAGCTATTTTGATCCTAATAGTATTATACTCAGGGTAAACATGAGTCCAGGTGCAATTGCTACCTGCTATACATTCAGGCTCCAATACTTTAATCAGCAGCAGTCTGCACAGCTTCGTAAAAAGTTAAGGTAGCAGCGTATAAGCTATATATACTGTTTTTGCCAATGCCTGTTGCCTCGCTAAAGATAGCCTCAGTTCACTCCTAAACCGATGTGTAGCTAATGAATATGCGATATCAGTGATCATATCTCAGGTGGGGGTGGAAGGAGGGTATATAAATGAGCGTACTGTCACAATGAAAATGCAACTACAAATTATTGAATCCTCACATCTTCAAAATTCTACAGCATCAGGAGGCGAACCTCATAAATGTTTAGACCAAACCACTACCCATCAGGACCACCTACCCCTACCAACCACTGGAATCCCCACTACCACCACTACCTCCACTAGCCACCCCCACCACCACGATCACTACCGCCATCACGACCACCAACACCATTACCACCACCCCAACCACTGCTGCCACCACCGATACCTCCACCAAACATACCACCACCGCCCCAACACCACCATCACGACCCCTCCCCCCATCCACGACCACCACGATCACCAACCAGCATCACGACTACCAACCACCACCGCCACAGCCACTGCCACCTTTTTTTTATATAGATTGAAAAATATGTGATAAGGCATTTTAGTGTGCCACGGTGACCCTTCTTAATCATACTGATTATGAAGTTGTTAAGCTCTTTTTTTTTACAATATATGCTACATGGAATTATCATCATTCGCGTTTCAACTACATTTTATACGTGAACAGCAATTATGTTATATATGTTGGGCTAATAAATACTGAAATACTAAACAATGATATTATGCGGCTGGCAATAACATATTCAATTTCATCGACCATTCATAATAAGTTCTTGTCTTTCCTAGTATAGCTGTACTCTCTCAGCTGGATATGCTAACTCTACTTCTACTGGATCTGGACTACTCTTCTGGATATACTAACTGGACTTCTAATATTTGATCAATCAGGTTCAATATTACTTACCATGTCATGAACGGAATGATGAGGTTGAGCACCTTTGGAATGTTTAGCATCTCCTGATTCTTGAGTATGGCATTCATCATGAGGTCAACAGCCTGTTCTGGTTCCAGCGATGGTACCAACGAAAACCTAAACAGTATTTCCTTAAAAATTTAGTAAGAAAGTGAAACTGACTAGCTCATTTACTATACTTTAATTAGGTGTATAACATTGGCTATTACAGTAAAAATAAATGCTCCAATGGCAGTCCAAATTGACATTCACTAATAAACTTCAAAACTGTAGGAGCAATTGTACCTAGCTATTAAAACTGTAGTATCTACTGAAAACAGAAAATCCTATTATCACATATCAAGTTATTAATAGTATATATATATATATGTACACATACCTCATCTTGAAGCCTTCAAACATGGAGGTTCTTATGTGGCCAGGGCACAGAAGAGTCGTAACCACATCGGATTCCATTGCTCTAATTTCCAGAGCCACTGACTGATGAAAGCCAATGGCTGCAAACTTGCTAGCACAATAGTCTGCAACTTTCGGGCCACCAGTCAGGCCAGCTGAGCTAGCCACAGTCACCAGATGTCCATGGTTGCGCCTCAGCATGCCTGGTAGAAATGCTTTGACAGTCTGAAAGCAACTACACATTATATATTAATTCGTTTACATATCTTACCCACCCAGACACCCAAATGGATACGTTTATCTCACTTGGCTAACATGTAGGTAAAGAATATTTTTACGAGTTTAATTGTCTATGGTAAATGCTATACTGCTTTTTTCTTTCTTATATCTTTCTTCATGAATATGTTTATATATGTATATCAGGAGTAGATAATAGGGAAGGAGTGCGACTTCAATAAACAAGGGAAATTCGTCATTTACTAGCCTTAGAATACCTACGATTTACTACGCGTAGCTCAACCAACTTGAGCTCAAATCGTACACAGTACATTCGCCTAGCATCGTGCGAAATCGTTTCCTCATATACACCCGCGATCTGGAGATACAGACTAAAACGTACGACACGATTATCCATTCTGTTGCCATCAATCCGAATGTATTGTCCGCCCGACTTGAAACAAAAGGCAGCTACTAACGCTCGGCGATGCTGTGTGGCTCGCTGGGAGATTGGAGCTGGAGCTGCTGCTGATTGCGGTGGGCGTGCGTGCGTGGGGGGCACACTAGCTGTATGCCGATATGCCGGTATGTAGCTGTATGCCGGGTCAAAGGTTATCTCGCCGAGTGTTGCGTCGATGTCCAATCTCCCAGCGAGCCACACCGCATCGCCGAGCGTTAGTAGCTGCCTTTTGTTTCAAGTCAGGCGGACAATACATTCTGATTGATGGCAACAGAATGGATAATCATGTCGTACGTTTTAGTCTGTATCTCCAGATCGCGGGGGTATATGAGGAAACGATTTCACACGATGCTAGGCGAATGTACTGTGTACGATTTGAGCTCAAGTTTGTTGAGTTACGCGTAGTAAATCGTAGGTATTCTAAGGCTAGTAAATGACGAATTTCCCTTGTTTATTGAAGTCACACTCCTTCCCTATTATCTACTCCTGATGTATATCATAGTTAAGTTAAAAGTTAAAAAAAAATCGTTTTAACCACAGTACATTGAGTCAAGTATGCTGATTGTGCTATTTACAGAATACTTACCCAAAAGTGTGCGAGTGCATTTACTTTCATGATCTTCTCCATGACATCATCTTGGCATTCCGTGACGTATTTACAGCTCCCAGCCACACCTGCATTATTCACCAGGATGCTTACTGAACCTACATCCTGTCTGATCTTCTCTGCAAGGTTGTAAACCTCTTTCCTGCTTGAGACATCACATGTGTAGCCATGTACCTAAATGATACAAGCATATTTTCAGGCAAGTCTTAGCTACTGAACATTCGCCAGATTGGTATATAAAATTTACACTCGGTTCTTCCTCTAAAATGGGGCTGCAACGTTTCATCCGGTATCGTTTAGTTCACGGGGGTATTGTTGTTTGATTGACCAATCAGTTACGTAGCCAACTAAATCACTATACAATATTATAATTGCTCCACAGAGGAGCGTAACATATCATTTATCTACCAAGCCTTTTTATAGTAAAGCAGGTGGCAATGACAGATTTGTGAGTTTTTTTCTTACAAGAGAACTGTTTTCATTTTATGGTCAACTATAACACAATGCAGTGACAATAAATCTATAAAACAATCATAACTTCTTCTGTAAGACCATATTAGTAAAGTAAAGGTAACTTATCTACTAGAAGATTATAGTATTTTACAGCTTACAATATATTCTAATGGACCATTAAATTATACCCATTTAAAAATTTTGCGAAATAAGCTACAACCTATAACCTACAAAATAGGGTAATTGTGTGTCATTTACTGTCACACATACAGCACCTTGTCAGGATTGGAGGCAACTGTCACAAGTTCAGCTACTGTCTCATTATTTCCTTTTTCATTGATATCTGTGCAGACGACTTTGGCACCATGCCTCGCAAACTGAATTGCAAGCAGTCTTCCAACTCCAGATCCTGCACCGGTTACTAATACGGTCTCACCTCGAATGTCTTTTTTGTATTTCCACCCCGGAAATATTGTGTAGAACCAGAACTCAATGAAGTAGTATGACACGAAAAAAAGTGTTACCACCAGCTCTTTGAGTATATCTACAGTATAGGCCATATTCTCTTTGGTGAAGACCCTGCAAAACACAATGAAACGTAGCCTTTTGAATGACAGTATTGTAGAATGCATTGTGTACAGCCGATTACATGAGGTACAAGTAAGTAATCACGTGTGACCAGAAATTTGTTCACTGCTTAAATGAAACCACCATTTAATCGGGATATTTACATGGTTCCCGATAAAGCAAGAACCACTGTACTCAAAGAAAAGGCTCACTTCGAACTGTCTGTTATATTATTCTATGCATAATCATTGACCTGTTGCTTTTGACTGTTTATTGTAGTACCATATAAAACCTGTAAATAAAAATTATGAGAAATTTTTGCCTCTGTGCCTCTCTAACTTCTCTTGGTGCCATAATATTTCAAAGGCGTGGCTTGCCTTGGATAAAACTTCTTAACTCTATCCCTGAAGTATGTATAGCACAGAATAAATGACATATAATATTTGTGTAGATGTAATCATTCATGTGAAATGGCATAGAAAAATGTTCAATTACCGGTACATTATGAAACCAGTAGCACCATTTACACATACCATATGCTTCCACACTACTATAAGTTAACTGCTGCACACACCCACAGCACCAATAGTATACCTTTGTATGACTGCAGAAATAAAGCTATTCAATAAAATGAGATAGTAAAATTATACCTTACCCGCGTAAGCGTTCCATTTTTATATAAAGTAGGTCTTTCAGCATAGACATAATGCAATAGGCTAATCACTCACTCACTGCACCGAGTAGACCAAGTATGAGTCTGCATTTCCTAATAACGCCCACGGCCTGAACATGCAATTTTATAGCACGACTATATCCGGCTAGATTCGCAGACCCGCCTTAATTCTATATTTAGTCACTAAGGACCACATTCCAAGAAAGCAATGTCAATATGTAGTACAGTTACTGCGAGCAAGCTAGAGGTTTAAAAGAAATTACATGTGGTACTAGCTATGGCATGTTTGGAAATTTGAGCCAACATTAATTTTTTGTATAGCAAGTTTGAAACAATCTTTCGACCTACGACCGTTTCTTGGAGATAAGCCAATTAATGTAACATTCCACAATAAAAAGCTCCCATAAATATTAGTATACACACACTACCATTTCTTGACTGCGACTTAAAAATGTTCTAAAATGCCACAATTAACATGCTAAGCCTTGTGTGTTAGTTTGCAAAATGTAAACAAATGGCCATGTCCATTCTTTCAAAATTTACTTGAGCGTGTGCAGACAGTTGAGCAACAGCATCACCGGGGTTAATTAAGTTAGTACACGCTCACTAATCTGTGATTATATTTTGTGCAACTATGAAACAAACCTCATAGTAATGAATTTTGTTGTATTTTGGAAAAATGAGAAGTTTTGGCTTATTTACGGTACTATATTGCATGCCAGGCTGCATAACAACACAGATATATACACAGAGAAGTCGAGTCACTCTGGTGTCGCTGAGTCAATATTACTCAGCACCAAAGTGTGGCATGCTCTCAGATGTAATCATTGAAAGGTAAGGTTTGAACAAGGCAGCATTTGTGTTGAGTCTATCTGATCACAATATTTTTAGTACAAAATGCTTGAATAAAACACTTTGGTTAGTTCAATTGATGGATATAGGGGGAATGCAGAGAATAATAAATTGGTATCTAGACAGTTTAGGTTCTCTGTCATGAACACAACCTGCCTATTTACTTATGCCACTTCAGTCTTGTCGACCTCCAGCAAACAAAGAATGTGTATTGCTGAATCCCACGCTCCTAGCCGGGGGAAATTGGCAAAGTTGGCCCGAAAGAAATTCAACAATGTAAACGTGCTTCATGAACTGAAGGAAACAATTTTCACTGTTTATCATGTCAGTTTAAAAATTTATCAATAGATCAATTTTTTAATTAAAGGTTGACAGTGTTGACCACAAACAATGACACGACCACCACCACCACCACCAACAACATCAACAACAAACCCAGCAATTACAAAATCTGCAAAACAACAACACCAGCAACAACAACAACATCAGTAACACTATTCTACTCCACCATTTAAATCCCTCCTACATTGCACACGACTCTACCCCTAGGCCATTCCGAGTTTACTCTGACCTAGCTCTACGGGTGTAGCACATTCGTCTTTTATTCAAATTATTGTTCCACGGACTACAGAGTCGCGGGTCACGCTCTTGGAACGTCTCAATAAAAAAAATAATGGTAAATAAACACGAAATGTATTTAGTAATTTACTACCAAAGTCTTAAAGGAATAATAGGTCCATTGATTATGCAATGTTGACGAATGCTAGAGTAACTGGCACCTTGTCTAGTTAAAGGAATAATATGGCCATTGATTATGCAATGTTGACGAATGCTAGAGTAACTGGCACCTTGTCTAGTTAATAAGTACATTACCTTATAGCCAAACGCGTATTAGTTTGTCCAATATCACTGCTGGTTACATTACAAACAAGACTTGAAATCGGTTGCTGATATGTATCAACGTATCATTTACGTGCCGTAAATGTCATCCAGGAGTCAAGCGATGACCGTAAAAACTTGTGCGGCCCGTATGTTTTTGCGACGCCAGATGAAACGGAGCCGGGGGTCAGCGGCTGTTAACCACGGCCACGGACCTAAACATGGAAATAAGAGTAAAACACACGTACTAATCACGGGACGCCACGTGGACAGCCCTTGACAAAAAAGTTCTTATCACGGGTCCATGTTACGAAATCGACTATGATAGCATTGCGTTATGGCCGAGCAGCGTGCGAAAATTGTCCGGTGCCAACTATAAATCTGTATCACCACTGCCGCTATCGCTGGCAGCGGTTTGAAACTGCTAAACATACTGATTTTTTGGACTGCGGATTTCAATTACGACATTTCTTCAGCGTAACCGCAGTGTATATTGCGACAAAACTATATTACGTCGTTTGTGCTATAAGTAATGTGTATCCTATATTTAACTACACAAGGTGCCAGTTATTTCTAGCATTCGTCAACATTGCTTAAATCTCAATCTGATACCTATTCATTCCTTTAATGTTTCTCTACTCTATTTCGCATTCATCACCTGTACAATCGCCGGTCAAATCTGCTCATGCTGCCACACACAAGTACCATCCGCACGCGTAGCCTCTAGTCACTATAGCCCGTCGTAACAGTCTTGCCGCAGGGCTATAGAACATTTTATATTGCTCGTTACAATATGTTTCATCAACGTGTCAACTACTCCTGGCGGGACAACGCCCGCAATTTGGTATTGTCGAGACACAAACACAATACGCTCACAAGAGTCTCGGTTCGGTGACGTCACCATGTTGCTTAACGAGTGTTTTAGTAGCGACTAATTCGAGATTGTATATGCGACGATAACATGTTTTCCGACGGATAAATTATATGTGTCTTGTTGATCGCATCAGTGTTGAGTGTATTGGCCTAGTTGCCACATATTATTATGTTGCTTGTAATCCTCAGTAGCGTTAAGGCACAATAAGTAATATCATTTCGCGATATGTGCTCATCTCGCCACGGACATACCCAACATGACGTCACACAACGATAACATCAGGGTAACATCTCAGTACTGGAATGTTCATTGGTCATGGCAAGGCACTTTGCAGGACTACAACCGGATCTCGTAGAATTGTCAGGCTGGAACTAAGAGGAGCGGAGCATTTCACCGTGCATGAACAAATGCATACGCATGATTTCACCATATAAAATCTGTTCATATGACACCGCTACACACTCTCGTTCCTAGTTCTGTGGCCCTAGTCACGTATGACGTAATGTTTACTCGCGAGTTTATGATGGCTAACCAAATGCATGATACAATAATATTTGGGTTTGTAGTTCGAACATAGTAATGACGTGGTCTCGATATCTCTATAACTGCCACGAATATAGTACACATATGAGTGTCTAACCTGCACTCGTGAATATCATCTCCAAGAAGTTTATGCGCATGATTTCGCCCATTAGTCAACCTCGGCAGACACAGTATTATAATATGAGAGACTCAAAAAGAAAATAAACAATACAGAGTCGCCATTTTGGCTATATACGCCATTTTGTGAGTAATTAAGCTCGTAATATTGTTTATTTAAACTTACCACAAGGTGCGCCAGTTACTGTAGGCATTCCCCTGTTAAATTGCATAATCTGATGGCTCCGAATTACTGCCATTTAAGGTATAGGGTAGGAAATGACAGAATGTGTGCCCACAAATCTAAATGGGCTCGACCTAGCGCTTGTGATAGTCGGTGTCGTTTCTGTTATTAGCATATATCATCGGGTGAGCGATAAAAGCCATCCACGATAGTATGTACACTCGATAATTTAGTGACGTGTTGTATCAAGAAAAACACATTTTATTCATTATGTATCAAAAGAGTGTTACATAAT